AAAACCCCCCCCCCCTCCTTAAAATATTTTTATTATTTCCTTCCCTTTTTTCCCTAAAAAATTTTTAGATTTTTCATAAACCCCTTGTGGAGGCCCCCCCCCCCGAAAAATTTTTTTTTTTTTTTCCCCCCCGTTTTTTTTTTTTCCCCTCCCCCCCATTTTTGAAAAAAATCCAAAAAAATCTTTTCTCTTTTTTTCCCCCGGGGGGGGAAGTTTTTTGTTTTTCCATATTTTTTTTTTTTTTTTTCCCCGGGGGGGGGAAAGGGGTTTTTTTTTTAAAAAACCCCCCCTCCCCCGGGGGGGGGGGGGGGGGGGGGCAGACGAAGTTCCAACGACGTGACAAGGGAGGTGAGATCCGGAAACAACGTTCTGAGACAAGACCAACGCCAACAACTCCACGAAATTCGGAGACATAGAAAGTAACCCGACGCATCGAAAAACACCGTTATGAACAAAATGGCTCATCGACGCGACACACGAGCGAGCACAAAAGTTACGCCAAAGCAACGCAGGGTCTGCAAAGGTGAAATCACCAAAATACTTGGACATTTTGAAGAGGGTGTCAACGAAAACGAGCCCACCACTTTGTCTGGTATCTGATTGGAGATGGCTTCAACAATATCTACCTGGATTCCAAACGCCACCCTGTCTTGCTCCATGGACGTTGTTGACGCTCGGAAAGCTGGCACCTGCGTCGGCCAGCCGGGGATGAGGGAAGACAACGTGGTAGCGTGGACGTCTAGTCAAGCAAGGAAATAACAGGCAGCTCGTGAAATCAGTAGGAGTCAAGGCATGAGCCGACCAACTGGCCGGCGAGGGGAGCCATCAGAAAGGCAGACAAAACGCTAGGAACCAGCGCCCGCCCGCCAGTCACAGTCGGTACATCGGAAAGTCGAGGTACTCGCCGATAGCATAGGGTGCCCGATGAGGAGGCACAAGCTATCAAGCAAGGCCTGCGGAACGACAAAAGAGTAGCAGTGTGGTGCCGAATAAACCGGGATCACAACCCATCGGACAATCAAGAGCCCAGGGCGCTGGAGATCCAGCGCCTTGCATGGCAGAAACCCCCGTTCCCGAATATTGAGACTGAACTCGCACCAAGAGATCTCGAATGAGCAGCAGGGACATCTCCTCCAGCGTCATCTCCCACGGGGCCCCTTCGAGTAACGCCTGCACGACAAGCGAGAAGCACCGAGCACAAGAGTTAAGGCCAAAAAACAAAAACACCATTCCCGTCAGCGGCGGCGAAAAAGACCAACATTATCGAAGCATTGTGCTCTATCCCATTCTCTTTGGTTCTGCCTCTACCTCTCGCTTCTGCATCTGTCTCCCGCCCTGCGCATCATACCAAGCGTATTGTTCACCTGACCGCTGATGCTTGACCCCTCCCCCCCCCCCTCCACCGCTGCCCCGTCGCGAAGCCCCAGCCGGACGCGGGCAGGATCGATGGCTCCCACTTCCCCCAGGCAGATCCCGCACAGGTCGCGAATGCGCGCGTCGCTGTCTGTTGAGCGTGCCGGTGAGTCGATCGACAAAGCGGATGGTGCGGCATTCGTTGGCCCGCAGTAACTGTCTCGTGATTATTAGCAGGGGTACAATCGTACACTCAAATGTTCGGGTGAAGCGGGGAGTGCCATGAATTTCCGAACGTAGATATCTAGCGGGAGGAACCCCTTTTCCCCCGTTTCCTTGCCCGGTCCTTGCTGTGGAAAAAAACGTCGGGAGACGAGCATTCGTCAGCTTCTACGGGGGGTCTATTCCGAATCTGGCGGCATCTCGAAGTCAGAGGACGGATTACAGCAGTGGTGGAAGTACGAACACCAAGATTTTTACCATCGAGGCAACGCTACCCGAACAAAAATTGGACAAGAAAAAAACGTCGGGGGAGAGACCGTACAACGTTGTTTTGAAGGGGATGAGGGTATCACATGTGCACCTGGTTTCAGAGGCCCGAAGATAAGTCTTCGAAAGGGGTCTTTTTGAAGGGGCGAAAGCGCTTGTGGTTCTGAAGGTGTGCAAAGGACACCCACTACTCTGCTTAATCCGCGGCACAATACAATGGAGTCTCGTTTCGATCGGTTGTGGTCAGGGGCGAAAAAGTGCAGGACCGCCGTAGTACCTTGGATAATGACGGCGTCTGTTTGTCTGTCTACTACCCCAATTTAGAGACTGGCTCTTCACAGGGTTATAAGTGCACTGTTGTGCGGGCAATACCAAGGTGACGCGCATCGGCGCTTGTTGTTGAACGCGAGCACGAAACAACCCCATCCACCACCACCACAATCACACAAGACAACAACAACAACAACAACAACAACAACAACAACACCGACCCACACCACCACCACCACCACCACCAACAGCGTCTTGCCTGTGGACATCTCCAGCAGGCCTGCCAGAAGTCTCGATACCACGGGGTCCACCTCACTGCTGCCGCTACCCCCTTCCAACACCAGCTCGGCGAGGTGCTGCTTGTCTCTCCTGACCACCAGCGCGAGGTGCTTCAGTGCCGCCCGCCTCACCTGAGTTGGTGGTATTGATCGATTGATTTGATTGATGGCGGTGGTTTAATCGCGTTGTTGGAAACACGTCGGTGGGTTCGTTGATCTGGATTGGATGGTATATTCTCGATCTAATGAGTGTGGGGGGTGAAGCACCTCCTGTTTCCGCCCTAAAAATGGCCATGAAGGTCAGTTCTATTCTTTCTGACCGAACCCGCTCGGATAAAATTCGTGGCATCACATAATACCCGAAACGTATTCGTGCTTGAGACGATACTTGTACGGCAGAACACCTAAAAAATAAAAAACAACAGCAGTATTCTCACGGGATGGTGGCGGTACGAACAACAGTCCGTATCTATCGCCTTCGTCTCCATAAAGAAGCTCGTAACAGGGGGGCCACACACACACATGATTGTTGGTTATCTCTCTCCGAAAGGTGAATCCTACGTTGGGGGGTCCACTCGAGCCACTGAGCACTGCTGTAAAAATGCACACCGAACCGCTTCCACTGTACGATAGACCGCATTCCCCCGCCCTTTCAGCAATCACCTCGGTGCTCTCGTCCCTGAGCAGAGGCGTGAGCCTGCCCAGCTGCTCCCGGAGAGACTGGTAACCCAACTCCCTCGAGAGTACCGCCCCTACCTCCCCCAGCGACGGCAGGTCTGGCAGCTGGGGCATGAACGGGATCTTGTGGAAGTGAGTGCTCATCTTGTCCTGCTTCTCCACGATAAGGAGCCGGAGGAGCGCCGCCGCCGTCGCTCGGATCTCCGCTTTTTCCTGCTCCCCCGCCCCACCGCCCCTCCTCTGCCTCCAAGGTCCTCGTGCCGTCTTCACGCCGACAACGGGAACCCGTCTGGGGGACGGAACCGGCGGTCCCGTTCGGCTGTAGGCCAGGGCTTCCTCCAGCAGGTCGGTGTCGCTGCGGCTGTTCGCGTAGTTCTTCCTGGCCTTTGCGGCAGACCTGTTGCCGTGTCTACGGCCACCTCCGCGGGGGAGAAGAAGCTTGGAGGACGGGGGCGTCGTGTTGGTTCTGTCGCCGATGATGGCCCTGCGAGCGCTGCTACTCCGGGCACCACCACCAATGCGGCGCCGGCGCTTGCTGGCTTTGTCGCCGTCGTCCGACTTTACCTCCTCGATCAGGGCAAGCACGTTCACCTGTGGTGCGCAGATTTTAGCGTGCTACATTGTCACGTAAAGTCGGGGTGGGTGTACGCCGACGACAGGAAGTACGTTGAACGGCGTGTTGTTCTGCTAACAACGGTGAGGGCGACAACAAAGAGAAGGTCGGCCTTGACTGCTGCTGTCAGCGTTGTGGTGTTTAATGTCTTGGGGGGCTATTTGCTATTTGCACGCCCCTAGCAAAAGAAGGCGGGGTGGGCACTCTCGTGAGAACAGTTCTCTTGCGGCTGCTGGCCCTCACAAACTTACTAGCTCACTAGCTCACTAGCTCACCACAAGAGATTTATATTTCGCTCACACTCAAGGTGTGTCATAGTCGGTTATCCTATTGCATGAGACAATTTTTAATATTTTCAACACACTATGAGAAAGCACAAAAGGTCGTTGCTGTTATTGCTGTTGTTGCTACTGTTGGTGGTGGTGGTGTTGTCTTAACGTTGAAAGGCTTCCAACCTCTTCTTCCATACCATTCAAGGGAGAGAAAATAGATCACAGGCAAAGATTTAACAGCAATACATCCTACGCACAAAATGGAAAACCCGAGATGTTTCCTACTATTATCCCTCGCGTTCTTTGATGCTTCTCACCCAAAACACATACTCCATCCGACGTACAGCGGTACACAATGTTGGATCATGTCGATTTAAAAAAGACAAAACTAAGCAAAAAACAACCGGTCAGTTTGGCCATCTAATGCTAACCTCGTGCACTGTCTAACGGCTAGGTTGGGATGTACGTTTGTTCGGCCATCTACGAAGTAGTGTGCAGAAGGCGCTTGTTCATGAGCGTACTTGAGGAAAGACAGCTTTACCCTTTCGCAAAAAAAAATGAAGGCATGCACCGAAGGGGAACTATCCTGTGTAACGCCGGATCGGAACACTTTTCAGTTAGAGTACACAGGTAGTAGTTCGAGCGACGGTTACAAAACCGGGATGATGCCCTCCCCGATGAAAAACACCCACCGAATCTGAAGGAGGAGGGCAAGACTTCGAAATCTCCCGACTGCAAGCTCTCACCACTATCGTGCTTAGATTTTCCGCGAGGGAAGCGTCGCTGAGTCCCAGGATGTACCCCATCATGACGCGGTAGGCGGTCCGCCTCTGCGCCGAGGTCCCGTGAGGGTCCGCAAGGGCCGATTGAAGCGTTGCCATCACCTGGGAAAAAGCAAAACCAATCGTGTGCGTCGGCGCCAAGACGTGAGCATTCCTCATAGCACAGACGCACGCACGGTCGGTACATGGAGACATGTGTAACGTCCAATGGTCCGGGGATTCTTCACCGAGCGTGGCCCGCCGACTGCTGCGACTATCCGGTAGGGCGTTGGACGCGGGAAAGTGTGTCCACCACGGCACCGTCGCTCTCTACACTCGCAACCAACCTAGACTGTCGCCTGTCTGAACTCGGCCATGCTGTGGCCTTCCTCGGCACACCTCCCGAACGAGATCAAACCTCCGCCGGTGTTAGGCCTCAAATTACCAGCCCTTGATTCTACGGAGCCGAGGGTATTTTCTAAAGTCGTCATGTGCAGCATAATTATTACTTGCACAACATATATGTGGCAGTTTATCGTGACAAGGACACTCTGAAATGTTAAAATATTGTAAGGCCTCAAGATGATTTCAAGAGAGTGGAGTTGACATAACTATTGGTTTTCGGATATTGCATCCCGTGGATACAACAACAATATATTTCCTAGTAGGAAAAGCGCGGAAAATGAGGATCATACAATCAAACTCATTGTTTACCAGAACCTTTTTGTACTTCGACCTTCAACCAAGCATGTTTCTCCGATACTCTAACCAAAATCCGGTTGTTTACTGTGTGGTTATGGGCTGTACCACTTGATGTCGCTCAACGTATTTCACATGACGAGCATTTTTTGGCCGCCGGTGCAGGTGCAACTTACTGACCTTGGGGAAGAGTCCTCCGGCTTCGTCCGCCGACAGGAAACCCACGAGTCGCCCTAACACCTATAGTCCACCAGGAAATACAGGTGGGATGGACAAAAAAAGGAAATACAGCAATGACATGCGACAAAAAAAAAAGGACAGTGGCGAACAACTACTCAGCAAGTGGTGCAAATGGTTGAATGTGCCATGCACGTTTGATGACCTTACGCGATACATGCAACAAGTGGTTTGCCGGGGCCTTTGGTTGCCTCTCAATACGCCACTGAGGAGGCCCGATCGGGAGGTACACCGAGGAGGAATCCTATTTTCTCACCAAGGCACTCCACCCTCCCTCTTGTGTTTAACCGTTCTTTCAATCGGAAAAAAATGAGTTTCCGCACACTGCTCCATCTCTCTCTCTCTGGCTCTACAACCTATCTATCTATATTTCCACCTTTTCCGTCCACGTCGCCGGCGACCTCGCGCGGTCTGGGGCAGTACTTTTGTTTTGTTTTTCTGGTCCGTTTACGTCCATTTTTCTGGGCACTCTTGTGTCCTGTTTTGATTCTCCATACACAACAGTAGACACCTTGTTTCGGCAGGTCAGCTTGTGGCCACGGAAGGGTTCGCGTCTGCTGGACCAGTGCGGATGGAATAAGGCGAATAAGCAGACATCAGGAGGTTTTCAGACTGAGAGCATGCAACAAAAGCAAGCACACCGACACGTCCCACCTGAATTGCCCGTATCTTGTCCCTGGAGGTGCGGCTGCTCCACCGCTTGGAGACCACGTTGGACATGAGGAACAGGAACTGCTGGGTCACCATCGACTCTACCTTGCGCTCCATGCTAACGTCCACGTCCGCCGCCGCCGCCGCCACCGCCCCCGCCGCCCCTGCCTTGCCGGCTTGGTCCCGTCGACGGTTGTCCTTCTTCTTACCCCGGCGGCCGCCTCCCCCTCCTCCTCCTCGGGGGGGGGACGAAACCGAATCATCCCCTGCATTGTTGATGTTGTCGGCCTCTGCTTTCTTGGCAGCCTGCTGCTCCCGGTACAACATGTGAAAAAAAAACGTAGAAGTCATTGGGGGTATCGAGGAACGCTTTCAGACAAATGTAATGTGACGAGAGAGGCGATGTTAGTCATGAAGTATGACGGACAACGTAAACATTAGAGGAGCATACTGCTTGTTCGAAGTGCTGAAGGAAGCCAACTGTTCGCTGTCATTTGGTACATTTGAGCCGAGGTATCAAGATGTCAAGTGACGGGCAAAAAAGGAAAAGTCATGCATCATCCGTGAATCGAATGAGGTATCAAGATGTCAAGTGACGGGCAAAAAAGGAAAAGTCATGCATCATCCGTGAATCGAACACGGGTCGCGTGAATGGCAATCACGCATTCTACCACTGAACCAATGGTGCTACTACGCAACGAGAGGTTGTCTCATTAATCAACAAAGCAAACTCCTGGCTGTCATTTGGTACTTTTGAGCCGGGAAAAGTTTTATGCACCCATGGGCACGCAAATAAGCCATGCACTCACCTGCAGGCGACAAATAGGGCAAAATGTTCCGAGGCTCGAACCCCTGACCTGCACTATTGTCTGACGTACGTGTGTCCCTTCAACCAGCAACGAACAAAGCATTTCTAGTGCTTCTTATGATTAGATGTTCTGCTCTGGCAGGGGCACGAAACCGGCTAAAAACCCAAACGCTAACCCTAACCCTCACCCCAAACCCACCCGATAGGTGCTAGGTTGGCGCTGGGTGGTTCAGTTCTAAGTTGGCCTGCCAGGCTTGGCGCTAGGTTGGTGTAGACCGGGAAAACGCTAGGTTGTTACTGCTTGGATAGGTGCTAGATTGGTGTTGGTACGAGAAATCTAGGTTGATATTGCCTGGATAGGTGCTTGGTTGGTCCTGACGTGGCTAGGTGCTAGGTTGGTGGGCCTTCGAGTTGGGGCTAGGTCGCTCTTGGGTGGTAAACGGTGTTCGTGCAGGTCTGTATAGGCGGGACTGCCAAGTTGTGGGTGCAAGGCTTATGTGCGTACCCTGTTGTTGTTGTTGTTGTTGTTGTTGTTGTTGTTGTCTTGACATTAAAAACCGTTCCGTTCTCTCAGCCCAGTACAGTAAGGTTGCGAGTCAGCGCACAGGGGTGCAAGCGATTTTCTAAGCGTAATTCTCCACAACCAGGACGTTGCCACTGTCGAAGAGGGCGGTTTTGGAAATATCTCATCGAGAGCTTTCCTGAAAAGTACCAGTTGGCGTTCGTACCCTTTTGGTTGTGGAGAAATTACGCTTTGAAAATCGATCACACCCCTGTGCGCTGACTCGCAACCTTACGGCACCTTCCTCTGTCCGTGCTATTTAATCTAACACTTGACGGGGTCGATTCCCGTGGTCACAGGCTAACTTACCCAAAAAAGGTACGAAAATAAAATGGACCCGAAGGGTCAGCAAGCCAATAAAAGTCAACGACAGATAGTCTAGGCCACTCCGCTCGACTCTGCACGCTATGCGAGGTAACCCTAGATTGGAACATGGGTGCGCATTTATTATTTTCCATTTGCGCCGAGGTAAATCAAGATGTCAACTTCATGACGGGGAAAAACAGAAGCACGTCATGCATCATCCGTGAAACGAACACGGGTCGCGTGAATGGCAATCACGCATTCTACCACTGAACCAATGATGCCGCTACCCCTCGGGAAGTTGTCTCTTTCCTCAAGGAAGCAACTGCTCGCTGTCATTTGGTACATTTGAGCCGAGGTATGCATGTGAATATCAAGACCCCAAGTTCATTGCGGGAAAAAAAGGAAAACCACTCATGCATCATCCGTGAATCGAACACGGGTCGCGTGAATGGCAATCACGCATTCTACCACTGAACCAATGATGCTGCTGCCCCTCGGGAAGTTGTCTCGTTCCTCAAGGAAGCAACTGCTCGCTGTCATTTGGTACATTTGAGCCGAGGTATGCATATGAATATCAAGACCTCAAGTTCATTGCGGGAAAAAAAGGAAAACCACTCATGCATCATCCGTGAATCGAACACGGGTCGCGTGAATGGCAATCACGCATTCTACCACTGAACCAATGATGCTGCTGCCCCTCGGGAAGTTGTCTCGTTCCTGAAGGAAGCAACTGCTCGCTGTCATTTGGTACATTTGAGCCGAGGTATGCATATGAATATCAAGACCCCAAGTTCATTGCGGGAAAAAAAGGAAAACCACTCATGCATCATCCGTGAATCGAACACGGGTCGCGTGAATGGCAATCACGCATTCTACCACTGAACCAATGATGCTGCTGCCCCTCGGGAAGTTGTCTCGTTCCTGAAGGAAGCAACTGCTCGCTGTCATTTGGTACATTTGAGCCGAGGTATGCATATGAATATCAAGACCCCAAGTTCATTGCGGGAAAAAAAGGAAAACCACTCATGCATCATCCGTGAATCGAACACGGGTCGCGTGAATGGCAATCACGCATTCTACCACTGAACCAATGATGCTGCTGCCCCTCGGGAAGTTGTCTCGTTCCTCAAGGAAGCAACTGCTCGCTGTCATTTGGTACATTTGAGCCGAGATATGCATATGAATATCAAGACCTCAAGTTCATTGCGGGAAAAAAAGGAAAACCACTCATGCATCATCCGTGAATCGAACACGGGTCGCGTGAATGGCAATCACGCATTCTACCACTGAACCAATGATGCAGCTGCCCCTCGGGAAGTTGTCTCGTTGCTGAAGGAAGCAAACTGCTCGCTATCAAGATGTCAAGACCTTACTAACAACCGTTCCGATCTCTCTTCCTGTACCTCCCTCCGTCCGTAGTGATCATACACTTGACGCGGTCGATTCCCGCGGCCACAGACTCACTTACCCTAACGAGGTATGCTCAAATAAAATGGACCCGAAGGGTCCACAAGCCAATAGAAACCTACGACAGATAGATGTAGCATATGAAGAGCCCTCCGCTCGCCTACACCGGCTATGTGAGGTAAGAATGAAAGGGAAGTCAACATCACGAGTCAGAGAGCGAAGTAAATCCCTGGTTCAACCGTGGTACCGTAAACGAGCGTGTCATGGCACCAATCGTTCACTTGGCACCCTTCGGTATTATGGCACCGGGTTGCGCAAAAAGTCGCTATTAATAGAACGGCATGATATAATTGCATTTCCGCACCAGTGTCGGTGCGATATCAACCCGGTGCGATATCAAATATGTAAAACCTGCTTAGGGCGTAAATTTTGCGTGTTTACGCAAGGTACCGGTACGCTCCGGGCCACGTCTTGAACTTACGTAGCGCACGGTTGTGGGGTGCCGGTAGGTATCAATTGGGGCGCCATTCCTTTCAAGTACGTATATCAATCTGTCGAGGTGTGCGTGTAGCAATGACTGAAAAGCACTGCATAATGACATTGTGATCTCTTCCGTATCACACATCAGTGTCATCGCACTGGGAGTGCGTTGGAAATCTAGAACGAAATGACTTCCCGCACCGGTATCGGTTATGGTACCCAACGGTGCTGTGACACCGGGGTGCGAAAAAAAGCCAAGAGAGGAACGATTTCAACAACGATGTCACCCCGGTGCCATAACATCCACTTTTACGGTGCTTCACAGCCGAAGATAGAAGGCCATCTGGAAAAGAACATACAGTAGTGGGCCCTCTATAGTGCCGGTTGAATAGTGCCGGTGCCCGGTATAGTGCCGGTTAAATTTCTGGACACAGACAGCGCCCTCAATAGTGCCGGACCGGCACTATTGAGGGATGGCCCGTTATAGTGCCGGTTGGGCGCCGCTGTGCCCCCCAATAGTGCCGGTTCACTACCTGCTGTAGACACACACACACTACCGGTCGCCCCGGTGGTCTAGTTGGTAGTATCCACGTTAAGGGCGCGGGGGGGATCGCAGTACCTCCTCTGAAAAATCCAGGAAACGCCTGCATATCTCGGTTTTCCAAAGTCTAACTGCAGTACGAAACTACCACCGTAAATTAACCGTCCGCAGCGGTCGCTTGTGGACAATGTTAGCAGCTGAGATTGTAGCCCTTTCGATACACTACAGACTAGCGGTCCGCGATTTTCCAAACGATCCTTCTATCATCGAGTTCGGTGAGCTACAAGCTAGATTTTTGAAGCTGCTGTGCGGTCCAATTTTGAAACGCTTCAAGCACCTTTGCCTAAAGGCTGGACATGCATATACATGACCCTAGGCATTCAAATCAACAATGGCGACCAGCTGGATATGTGAGGGAATAGCTGCGCTGAAGTTCGCGGCCCCATACACTCACATAGGCGGTGATTCATGTTCACCGTGTGCTTGAAGCGTTTCAAAATTGGACCGCACAGCAGCTTCAAAAATCTAGCTTGTAGCTCACCGAACTCGATGATAGAAGGATCGTTTGGAAAATCGCGGACCGCTAGTCTGTAGTGTATCGCAAGGGGTACAACCTCAGCTACTAACATTGTCCACAAGCGACCGCTGCGGACGGTTAATTTACGATGGTAGTTTCGTACTGGAGTTAGACTTTGGAAAACCGAGATATGCAGGCGTTTCCAGGCGTTTCCTGTTTTTTTGAAGAGGAAATACTGCGATCCCCAGTGCGGCCTTAACCTTCTAAGTTTCAGGTCATGGGTCCGAGCCCCGGCGATTTGTTTTTTTTTCTTACTTTCGCTCCTGAAAGAATTGGAAGCAATTTCTCCTGAATTCGTTAGTAAATGATGCCTTGGTGCATCAACTTCACTGTTAACGAGGGTGGGAGTACTGAACCCTCTCGCGATAAAAACAATCATAGGCATGTACCGCAGAAGGAGGTCCAGCCCCCCCCTCCTGTGTGACCCCGGTTGGGTCGTCTAGCTAGTCGTAGTGGAGGATGTGGGCCAGTGGGGCAGACAACAGAAACAATAATGGGGGAACAAAACAAACACACACATGTGTGGAGCTATTTTGTTTGAGTCATCTAGCTGCTGACACGATGACTGTTGGATCTTGGGAGTGTACGATTATCAAATTGGGAGATGCAGCATACCACGATATCCTGGCTTCGGCTGGGCTTGAAT